GGAAAAAAAAAAAAAACGATACCCAACCCTATTTATGAATGAATCTAGCATATTTTCTAGGCTGAGTTAATTCATGAATTGTTGTCTTTGGAGGTCATTTTGAGTCCCTGGGGTGTTTGTAAGACCCTGCTTTGTGTGAAGTCACTTTAAAGCAATGTGTTTGTAAAAAATCCACAATGAGTTTTAAAAAACTTTTTTAACTTCTTGCTCTTTTACTTTTTGGAAATAAATGCCTTATTTCTATGGCTTAATTTATGAGTTCTTGTTATCTGAGTATTTTTGTATCTTTCTTTTTAGAACAAAGATCCCAAAATGTCTCGTGTAGCACTGGAGTCTCTCTACCGGCTGCTCTGGGTTTACATCATCAGGATCAAGTGTGAGAGCAACACAACCACACAGAGGTAGGACACACAATCATACAGAGTTACAAAAATATCTTGAATTTATGCCAATTGCGCACACACTGAAAATACATTCACTCAATACTAACACTAACCTCAAAAATACCATTGTTTGAGAAGATAAACCTCTCACAGATATAAACAAATATATACAATATTGTCTTGTAGACAATTCTTATTTATATGTATATAACGTTTCACATCATCTCTTTTCCTTCACAGTCGTCTCCTCAGTATTGTAACAGCACTTTTCCCAAAGGGCTCTCGCAGCGTGGTCCCCAGGGACACACCCCTCAACATCTTTGTTAAGATTATTCAGTTTATCGCTCAGGTAAAAAAAAAATAAAAAACACTCAAAACATATTTTAGAACATCTCAGGTTCATATCCAGCCTTTGTTTTGGCCCAATCCTAAAGCTATCTATCTATCCACTTTACCATCAACGATCTATTATTTTATCATAAAGGTAAAATGATCACAATGAACATTTTGGGAGGTTGGGTTTGGTTTATTGCGTTGGTTTTCATTGGTTTGTGGCACGTTGTTTTTCCCTCTCTAAAGGAACGGCTGGACTTTGCCATGAAAGAGATCATCTATGACCTGCTGTGTGTGGGCAAATCCCACAAGACTTTCACCATTAATCCAGAGGTATGTGAAGACATTCACATAATGTGCCAGCCATTAAAAATTTTGAAAAAACCTTAAAAAATTGGATGGATAAACATTGAAACTAGTTATCTCTCTCTTATCTGTCTCTCTCTCAGAGGATGAATATTGGTCTTCGGGCCTTCCTGGTGATAGCCGACAGCTTACAACAGAAGGACGGCGAGCCGCCCATGCCCACTACAGGCGTCATCTTACCTTCAGGCAACACACTGCGGGTCAAAAAGATCTTCCTCAACACCACTCTCACAGACGAGGAAGCCAAGGTCATCGGTACTGACCCTTACAGTTCCTACACAACTCTCCAAAATGAAGATATTTCTGAGTACAGCCTGTCCCTACCCTAAAGCATTTGGTCATATTCGAATAGTTGATTTTAATGTAATTGTGATTCCTGGAGCATGAGCTGTCCTCATTGAGCTTTCAGCATAAATACAGTTGTGACTTCCTGCCAAGTTCTTTTCTGTGTTTTTGAGTAAGAAATTTTGAAATATTTTGGGATTGTAATAGTGGTCCATTCCTTTTTAATTTTTTTATCTATGTTGGCATTAGTCACAATTTCCTCATATACTGTACATAAATTTGACTTTACATTTTTAATAGTTTGTTTAGCTTTTCCAGTAAAACTCATTGCATGCCCATTAGTGGAGATAGTGGTGTATTTATCTGGCCTCATTGTTTACAGGTTGAGGAAATGACTCTGTGTGTAGTCTGTTGTAACATTTTTCCGTTCTTGTACCAGATTTTGCATGTGAACTAAGCTGTTTTCTTTCTGTGTATGTGTTTGTCTGTGTAGGTATGTCTCTGTATTACCCTCAGGTTAGGAAGGCCCTGGACAACATCCTCAGGCACCTGGATAAAGAGGTGGGACGATCCATGAGCATGACCAACGTTCAGATGTCCAACAAAGAGCCAGAGGACATGATCACGTTAGTTTCTTGAGATTTTATTTGCATAAATATGATATAAGAATTTTTTAAATGGTATGCAAACGAATGGTGTTGTTTATTTGGCTCTCGTGTTTATTATATGTTTGTGTTCTGCTGTAGTGGGGAGCGTAAACCGAAGATTGATCTGTTCCGGACATGTGTAGCTGCCATTCCTAGACTAATCCCAGACGGCATGAGCAGACAGGATCTCATCGAGCTACTGGCCAAGTAATGACCTGTGACCCTCATGTCAACCCTCATTCATCACCACGAGAAAACTCCAACCATTCCCCAATTCACTAGTTCTGTTGTTGCTTGAGAACAATTACATTTATGCCTACTGACCATTCATAGAATTTCATGATTTGATTCTGATTCACAAGCTATCAATTTAATGCAATATGGTTTGTTTTGGAAATATTTCAGTTTAAATGTAAACAGGCTGGTTATTACATTTCAGATATTACATAATTTACTGATTGCTACAGTGCATGGTGTGCATTGTGAGTTCAACATGCTCTGGGTTCACTTTTTCGTATTTGCATATTTCACAAAATGTTTGGTCTTTATAGTTTATGTAAAGCTAATTGCCAATAACAGCAATTTGGAACAAGGATTTTCAACACAGAAAAACTTTAAAGTTCTTCTCATACAAAGTGTTTATTTATTTTAGGGGTATGAGTCAAACAGAAAAATCACACTTATACATAAAGTACCAATAGACTAATATGAAATGCTAATTTCCATATATTTATGACTTCCTGTACAGCAACCACAATCTGAGTCAGACTTCCTGTGAAGTCGTAATAGCATGTAGTCAGAACTCATATGTCACCATTTACCCGCTTGACCTCTCTGCGGTTCTGGTGACGCATGACGCTGTTATGAAAATGATGATGTGTTGCATTTATTTTTTGCATTCTGTAAACAATGACTTTCATTCTCCCACCCATCCAGACTGACCATCCATATGGATGAGGAGCTGCGTGGTCTGGCGTTCACCACTCTGCAGGCTCTGATGGTGGACTTCCCAGACTGGAGAGAGGATGTGTTGTCTGGTTTTGTGTATTTCATTGTGAGGGAGGTGACTGACGTTCACCCCACACTACTGGACAATGCTGTCAAGATGCTTCTGCAGCTCATCATACAGTGGAGACAGGCGGTACAGAGCAGCAACCGCAACCATGATTCACAGGTGCAAACATGCAACAGTTATATAATATATAAAATAATACAATATAATATATAATTTTTGTAAAAAAAACTTCAGCAAGGATGCATTAAATTGATCAAGAGTGCCAGTAAAACTTTTATATTGTTACAAAAAAAAAAAGTATGTGTTAAGCAGCAGACCTGTTTTCAGCATTGTTAATAATAAGAAACATTTCTTGAGCACCAATGCAGCATATTAGA